AATATTAAATCTCTCGACTTTCCTGTAGGCCAGGAAATTTGTTGAACCAACAAGCTGCTTAGATCATGGGGAAGAGTTGATGGACAAATCAGCTATGCCAAGATGGTTGGCCTTGTCCAACATTTTCGTTTGGTTGGTAGAATTGCCATTTTGTTGAAGCCATGTGAGTTCTTCATGGGCTTCCCTTGGCATAGAGGCAATTCTTCCTTAAATGGCGACATGTGATAACTTGGTGACTTTCCATATTGCCGATGTAACCATGAATGTTCCCTCCACTGTCTGAATGTATCTTGAAGCATTTTTTATGAACAAGACTACTTTGTCGATAGATTTCAACACATGCTGTCCCAGTACCATGATACAGATGAGGAAATACTGCTGATTCTTTTTCCCCAATGACCAGTCAAGGCATATATTGTAAGTTATCTGGAACATGAAGATCATTTTAGACCTTCATTTGTGCCTGTGTATATAAAAAGCATAGAAATAGGACAGCAGTCTCATGGGTTATTTTGAGTTCATACTTGGGATCTTTTTTGGGTAAATGTTGCCAGAAAAATTGATTTGTGGTGCTGGAATTGTTTTCACCATTGGCCTGATAATACACAAATGTATCCTTGAGCTCCAATCAGTGACTTTGCCTAGGCCGAGATGATGTCATCAGTCTGCTGCAGGTTTGAGAAAGCATTTCCTCAGTCTCTCCTCCCCCTAGTGATCAGACTGCAACATTAAACTTTGTAACACATCATATCATTCTCTATCACAATTAATCGTTCAGTTCACTATAAGATTAGATTGTAAGCTCCCAGGATCAGGGCCCTCCAATCCCTCTTGTATTGAACTGTATTGTTGCTGTATTGTCTCCCGTTATATTGTAAAGTGCTGAGCAAACTGTTGGCACTATATAAATCCTGTATAATAATAATATATAAATCCTGTATAATAATAATAATATATAAATCCTGTATAATAATAATATATAAATCCTGTATAATAATATAATAATATGGTAAGGGGCTGAAGCAGGACTGATGTATGTCAGAGAATTGTGAACACAACCAGGAGCTACAAAGGCACCAGGGCTTACAGTGTTGGCTCTGAGGAAGAGGTTGTGTCCTCGAAACGCGTTAGCCAGTTGGTCATCCAGGGTTCCATCGTATGGACTCAGATGTTGTTTGGATCATACATCTTGTTCATTTTGACATGCCTGTGTTATTATGTCTATTGTGAGTATGATACCTATTTTTTTGTTTCTTTAATAAATTTTTAAACGATAATGCACTAGGTCGGTGCGCCCTTTTTCTGTTTCTCCATTTGTATCCAGTGTATTCGGACCACCCCGGTCTGTTGAGGGCAGCAAGCAGTGCATATTCCAGAAAATTCCAGAACATTCCTATTGGGTCTACTGAGTCCTTTCCTAGCGCAGGAGTAAAGTGTTTGTTGTGTTGGATTTACCAGGGCTTACATGATTGTGTCAACTCTGAGCTGGCATCTTAGTCCAGAAAGTAGATGGTGATCCTAAATGATGCCTGAACAAAAATGGATCTGAACTTCTGGAGAAAAAAAAAGAAGATGAAGGCATTGTCAGGGGGGTGTCCTGTGACCTCTGAGAGATAATACCTGGAAGGGTCACACTGACTCATTACTTTGCACGTTGCACCTAAATTGGACCAATCTACCTTATGAATGAACGCTTCCGAGTCCGGCTTGTCTTGGCAGTTGGTAAGAGCAGAGTGCAGTGTGACAGTTACAAAGTGAACATTTTCAGGCTCTAATGAGTTAATAGGGGCTTATCTCCCGGAATGAGGACCCAGGATTCCACTGCTTTAGCGGGAATTGGGGGGGTTTGCTCAATGTCGCCCCTTACAATGAGCAGATAATAGGCAGTGATTTTGTTTAATGGCCTTGGCAATGCTGATGGAGGGGGAGGGGGGGGAGGGTTGTTCGTCTCCCCCTCTCCGCATTTCACTGGCCAGATGAGTAATTCCGTTTTTTTAAACCATGAAAAAGGACGCTGATGAAATTCCGCTATCAGCGACAAACCAATATGCAAAATATCTCTCGGCAAATCAAATGGCTATTATGTTTTCATTCCCATCCCGGCGCATTTGCTTAATGAAGAAGAGACGGATCGCGCTGCCGGAGGACGTCTGCAGGAGGTGATAAGTGCTAGCCATCCGCGTGTATGGAGTCTGCCACAGGCCTACCGTCTAGCCCCCCCGCCTCTCTGCCCTGGCTCTCCACCGGCCGCCATGTCTGGAATATCAGCCGCTATTCGTGTGTTCTGACTTTTTCTGAGTTTCCTTAAACTTTTTTTTATTTATAACTCTTCTGCAATAATTTGGTGAAGATAATGCTGACCCTTTTTAACCCTTAAAAAAAAAAAGGGGGTCATTCAGGAGCCAGGCAATGCTTGCGAGGTGCTGAACTTTTAGCGCATTTTATACCAGTCCACTGTACGGCTACCAACACATCACAAGGAACAAAAATGGATTTATTACAATAGGATCCCTGGTGGTCCTGCCACGAAGTTCCTTGTTCAGGCTCTTCCTTTTCTAAGGTGACAATGCTCTGTCCCATATATATATATATATATATATATATATATATATATATATATATTATATATATATATATATAACTCAGCGAGTGCTTAGTAAAAAAAGCAGCTGTGCACTAAAATGGAACCATAAGCCTTCTAAAAGATATGTAAAGAGTAATTGTGCAGCGCTAGAAAATATCAAAGGTTTATGCAATTAAATATTATAATGTCCTGATAAGAATAACAAGGGAAGGCGGGTTGAAAGTTCAAATGAATATAATCCAGATATAAATGGAAATGGTCAAAGCCCAGGTGATTTCATTAATCCCAGTTGTGCATAATTCAGAAGTCCGGTGAGGTGTGGGATATAGATAAAATGCGCACTCACCAGATGCGCATTGGTAATGCGCAGTGTATTGTGTATTAAATGGTGGTCTACCAGGAATCCCTCTCTGGTTGGTACCGGATGCAGCCCAAGTTAGGTGGCCCTCATCTGGGTTAGAGGATGGTGGTAAGCCGGAGGTCCCCTTGAGGATGTAGTAAAATGGATACAGCCTCTTCCAGGCACTGGGATGGTCACCAAGGGAGCTCTGGGGGATTAAACACTCATGATCACACTCCAGTCCGGACCTTTATTCCGGCGGTAAAACGCCACAAACTGGCGGTTTTGGGGGTGGTTTTTTGACCCCAAAAAAATGCTAAAAATGCAAACGCAGAAAAATGCGGGAAAACGTCGCTAAATGCCAATGAAAAACCGCTAAAAAAGCTGAAAAACCTGTGTTTTTAACGTGACTTTACACAGCTAACGTTACCAGCATTATCAAAACCAGTCCAGTGTGCATGAGGACTTAAAAAGACTCCAGTAGTAATTGGATTTAGTTCCAGTTTAAGCACAGGCACTTGCTTTGGGAGGGTGTTTGGTAGAAGGTCGGCATTTCTTATGTCTGAGAATAAAGTCTTAATGCTTATTAGATGTAGTAGCTTCAGATATTTCATCTTTTTTATTTTGCTTCCAATTAGTCCATTCCAACGTGGTGTTGGATTGTCAGCTCTTTGGGCCAGCAATGCCATTGCTATGTCCAGCAGAGAGAGGAATCAGAGAAACATACATTTGGGAGGGGGGGAATGATGGGATGAAATTTGGGTCACAAATCACCATATTTCCTTTTAAATCTTTTTTATATTTTTTTTTCTGTCTGCCAGAAGACTAAATTCATTGCATTGATCTCGGGCTGAACGGCTGGCGTTTGATCTCAGATGCTTATCGGAGAGAGAATTTAAAGTTAGCTGAAAAGATCCTTTGTTCCCTAACCGGGGCGCTTCCATTAGCCTGCGAGGGCAGTTTTCATGCACGCTGTTCCTGCGGCGGAATCTAGACGGGGTGTGAAAATGTTGCTTTTGTCAAATGCTAATTAACCCATCCGCTCCTCGGATTGTCCTGCTGCGTTACATAGTAGAGCCGCTGCAAGCGTGACGCTGACTGTGATTAGAGTGGGGCATCGCTGGGATCCATCATGACATGGCCAATCGTGCAACGACGGTGAAAGATTCGTTTGTTTCAGCCATTGGGAAACTAATAGGCGGTTGGTTGTGGCAGAATTTTCTAGCCTTTCTGAGTACAATGAACTGTTTCGGAATCATTCTCATCCTGGATCAGCGGCAAAAGCAGGCATTTCATTTTGTATTTTGAAGCTTTACGAACGCCTGTCCATGCTGTGCGTCTATTATATGCATTGCAGTGGAGAGCGTCCCTTGACATGGTCGCGTTTTGTGTTGCGTCGCGCCAAAATTTATCCGGCATGTAGCATCTGGCTGGCTTTACCGCTCCCCAAACACCTCCATTCATGTCAATGTAAATGCGCTACAAAAGTACAAAAGCTTCTGTGGTGTCTACAACGTGGTTGAGGTGCGTTCAGAAATTGTCACTAGCCTAGATGACCGCACAAGAAGCCAGGCAATAGAAAACAACAACGGGGGGGGGGCATCTGGAGGGAATCGCCTTAACGGGACGCAAACGCCTTAAAAACACAAACTATTCGGGGGGGGGGGGGGGAACTTACCATTTTGGGCGAAGACACAAACCACTGGAGGTGTTTAGGTGTTTCTCCTCATTGTGGGGGGGGGGGGGGGGGGGCAGAGACACCACATATGGGGGGGGGGGAATCTCACTTTTGGGGGGTTTGGGCAATGATACAAACTACTGGATACCAGAAGGGTTTCTCATCATTGTGGGAGGGATAGAGACACAACATACCGGGGGATCTCACTATTGGGGGGTTTGGGCAAAGACACTAACTACTGGATACCAGAAGGGTTTCTCATTGTGGGAGGGGCAGAGACACAATGTACAGGGGGGGGGGATCTCACTATTGGGGGGGGGGTTGGGCAAAGACACAAACTGCTGGATAACAGAAGGGTTTCTCATCATTGTGGGAGGGGCAGAGACACAAACTACTAGAGGGGTTTCTCAGCAGTACTGTAGCAAATCTAACCATTGTGGGGGGGCAGAGACACAAAGTACTAGGTGGAAAGCTCACAATTGTCACAATTGGGAGGGGCAAAGGCACAAACTACTGGAGGTGTTTCTTATCATTGTGGGGCAGAGGAGACACAAAGTACTGGAGGAGGAGAAATTTCACCATTGGGAGGGGGGGGGGGGGGGCAGAGACACACTACTGGGGTGAAAGCTCACAATTGGGGGGGGCAAAGGCACAAAGCACTGGATGTGTTTCTCATCATTGTGGGAGGGGCAGAGACACAAAGCTCACCATGGGGGAGGATGGGGGGGGGGGGGGGACAAAGGCACAAATCACTGGAGGAACACAAACTACTGCAGAGAATCTCACCATTGTGGGAGGGGCAGAGACACAAATTACTACAGGGGGGATCTTACCATTGTGGGAGAGGCAGAGAAACAAACTACTGGGGGAAAATCTCCCCATTGTGGGAGGGGCAGAGACACAAACTACTGGGGGTGAAATTTCACCATTGTGGGAGGGGCAGAGACACAAACTACTGGGGGTAATCTCACCATTGTGGGAGGGGCAGAGACACAAACTATAGGGGGGAAATCTCACCATTGTGGGAGGGGCAGAGACACAAACTACTGGGGGTAATCTCACCATTGTGGGAGGGGCAGAGACACAAACTATAGGGGGGAAATCTCACCATTGTGGGAGGGGCAGAGACACAAAGTACTGGAGAAGTTGATTAACCCTTTGCGGCTCAGGTCACATGATCAGGAAGGATTCAAACGCCTTCTCGGAAAACCCAACCAATGCGGTAAAACGTTTGTGAGCCCCTAGAAATGAACAGGATCTCTGTGCAAACGGATGCAATTTACAGGCTAGAATTTGCAGCTCCCTCAACCCTCAAGAGGCTACTAGGTCATGCTGCAAGGAAGGGTACTCAAACCATCATGGTCCCACCACCGTGTTTCACAGTTGGGGTGAGGATTTGGCATTGATGTGCAGTGTTTTCTCTATACATACATTTGCACACATTTAAGATGGCCATACACGAATCAAAATTCATCCAGTTCAGTGGGAACCGAACACATGGACATCATCTAAATGGGAATAGCCATATGTGGATTGAAATGTGTTCGGTTCCCACTGAACTGGCTGAATTTTGATTCGTGTATGGCCATCTTAAATGTGTGCAAATGTATGTATAGAGAAAACACTGCACACCAATGTCAAATCCTCACCCCAACTGTGAAACACGGTGGTGGGACCATGATGGTTTGAGTACCCTTCCTTGCAGCATGACCCAGTAGCCTCTTGAGGGTTGAGGGAGCTGCAAATTCTAGCCTGTAAATTGCGTCCGTTTGCACAGAGATCCTGTTCATTTCTAGGGGCTCACAAACATTTTACCGCATTGGTTGGGTTTTCCGAGAAGGCGTTTGAATCCTTCCTGATCATGTGACCTGAGCCGCAAAGGGTTAATTTTATCAGACACCCAGAAGCCGTGCAGGCGTGAACGAAGGAATTAGCTTAACGACGTTACATTTACAAGAGGAGAGAAGCGATTTGTTAGCCGCTGATTGTTTCTGAGCATTATCAGTACAGACTTTAATTGTGCTGGAACTGAAATTAGCAGAATTAGAAAATTCGCCCGCGCTGGTTCCGGCGGTTCCTTTCTCCACGCTCATTGTTGTGCGCTATGTATAGATTATAAGGCCTTTGTTCTCGCTGCGTAAATATACATGCCTGAAGTCAGGGAGCCTCTGAGGTCTGCTGGCAACCGCGCGCCGTCCCTATCATGTCCCAAAAACCTTTGCTGAACGACGTGTTGTCTTTTCTTTTTTCTTTGAGTGCAGCCGCTGCTCCTGACTCCAGCCCAAACTTGATGAGGTTTTGGGTGTAAAATATAATTGATGTCGATTGAAGCAAGTAGAAATTTTTATTTGTGTGGAAACTGTTCATTACAAACACCCGTTCAAAGCTTTTAATTGTTCATCCTGTCGCAGTGTTTTTTTTTTTTTCATATTCATAATGCAATTACAGAGTAATGAGCGGTGGAAAATAAAACGCTGGTACAGTCTTCCACTTAAAGGGGAACTGCACTGCATCTGAGCACCACAAACCAAAAATATACTATTTCATTCGTTCATTTTCAAAGCAAACTCCCTCATCCATCCATGTCTCCATGCTTAATTTTGAGAAATCATTTAGAAAAAACACCCCCCTGGCATTTCTGGCTGTGGCCATCTTGAGTAAGGGCAGATGATTCATGTATCATTTTACTTCCTGGAATCCATCTGCCCTTAGCTCAGGCATAGGCTGAGCTGAGAACCCTCCCTCCCCACCTGAAGACTGCTGGGATGTGTGACATCATTTGCCTAGACATGGAATCCAGGAAGTAACTGAACAAATGTAAAAAAAAAAGTTTAAAACAAGTAAATATAATATATATAATATACTTTCCTATACCAATGAGAGCAGCATAAGGAGTCCATGCTGGTTGAGAGAGTGAAGTTCTGCTTTGAATCTTTGCAGAAAGCTGCATGTCAGAACTGCATTTCATACAATATGGCATCAGATAATTTAACATCACATTGTTGAAAGTGACAGGGGTACCAAATACTGAGGGGGGGGATCTCTACTGGGGGGGGAATCTCACCATTGTGGGCGGGGCAGAGACACAAACTACTGGAGGTAATCTCACCATTGTGGGAGGGGCAGAGACACAAACTACTGGAGGTAATCTCACCGTTGTGGGAGGGGCAGAGACACAAACATCTGGGGAGAAATCTATTGCGGGAGTGGCAGAGACACAAACTACTGGGGGGGGGGGGGGGAGGAAATCTCTTGTGGGAGGGGCAGAGGCACAAACTACTGTGGTGGGGGAATGTCACCATTGTGGGAGGGGAAGAAGAGGTAAGTGAAGATGAGAGGTTATAGAAATGAGAAGGGGGGGGGGGGGAGATGAGGAGAAGTGGTTGTGGGAATGGGGGGGGGCAATGGAAATGAGGAGGGAAGTCATGGAGATGGAAAGAGGGGAAGAGATGAAAAGAGATCTGCAATCGATCAGAAATGAGGTTGGCAGGGCTGACACCGTGTGGTTAGGAATTCAAAGCTGTGTTGTCATGCCAAAAAAAAAATGTTGGAGCACGCTATATTTCTGACACATCACTAGTTATTTTTCTGTACTTGTAGCCTGTTTAAATGGATAAAACATTGGGAAATGTGCATGTAATGCGGAGATCTACCGTATTTTTCGCTACATAAGACGCGCCTAGGTTTTAGAGGAGAAAAACAAAAAAAAAATATTCTGAACCAATGGACTGCAGACACAGTACAGGGGATGACCAGAGACTGTGGACATAGTACAGGAGATGACCAGAGACTGCGGACATAGTACAGGGGATGATCAGAGACTGTGGACACAGTACAGGAGATGACCAGAGACTGCGGACACAGTACAGGAGATGACCAGAGACTGCGGACACAGTACAGGAGATGACCAGAGACTGCGGACACAGTACAGGAGATGACCAGAGACTGCGGACACAGTACAGGAGATGACCAGAGACTGCGGACACAGTACAGGAGATGACCAGAGACTGCAGACAGTACAGGAGATGACCAGAGACTGTGGGCTAGTACAGGAGATGACCAGAGACTGCGGACATAGTACAGGAGATGACCAGAGACTGCGGACATAGTACAGGAGATGACCAGAGACTGTGGACACAGTACAGGAGATGACCAGAGACTGCGGACATAGTACAGGGGATGACCAGAGACTGCGGACACAGTACAGGAGATGACCAGAGACTGCGGACATAGTACAGGAGATGACCAGAGACTGCGGACACAGTACAGGAGATGACCAGAGACTGCAGACCGTACAGGAGATGACCAGAGACTGTGGGCACAGTACAAGAGATGACCAGAGACTGTGGGCACAGTACAGGAGATGACAAGAGACTGCGGACATAGTACATGAGATGACCAGAGACTGCGGACACAGTACAGGAGATGACCAGAGACTGCGGACACAGTACAGGAGATGACCAGAGACTGCGGACACAGTACAGGGAGGACAGACTGCGGACAGTACAGGAGATGACCAGAGACTGCAGACAGTACAGGGGATGATGATTCAGAGACTGTGGACCTTTGGGGACTGGGAGGGGACAGTACAGGGGGGACTACCTGGACCTTTGGGGAGGGAGGGGGGGAGCGGGTACCTGAATTTGACAGATTCACTCTCCCACTTCCACCGAGTTGTCCTCCCTTTAGTTTGGGCACCCGGCTGTGATAGCCGGGTGCCCACTGCGCATGCGCGAGAAGCGCTGCGCACTGTGAATGGCCCGGCGTCTTCTGGGACACATGACAGGTCCCAGAAGATGCCGGGCCATTCACAAAGCGCAGCGCTTCTCGTGCATGCGCAGTGGGCACCCGGCTGTCACAGCCGGGTGCAAAAACTAAAGATGCCAGCGTAGGGAAGACTGTACAGCTGTCGACCGAGGAACAGGTAAGGTCCTGCTGCAGAGAAGAGCTGAGCGGCCAGCTCGGTATTCTGACACGGTGTCGGCGGTGGAAATACCGGACCGGCCGCTCCATATTCACTCCATAAGACGCACTGACATTTTGCCCCCTTTTTGGGGCAAAAAAGGTGCGTCTTATGGAGCGAAAAATACTGTACTAATTTCAGTGAAGGAAATGTGTATTTGATCCTCTGCTGATTTTTGAATGTTTGCCCTTCACAAAGAAATGATCAGTCTAAAAATCGAATGTTCGGTGTATTGTAACACTGAGAGAATAGCAACAAAAAATTCCAAAGAAATGCATGTCTAACAAATGATGACTGATTTGCATGTTCATGAGGGAAATAATTATTTGATCCCCTTCACAAAACATGACTTAGTACTTGGTGGCAAATCCCTTGTTGGCAATCACAGAGGTCAGACATTTCCTGTAGTTGGCCCCCAGGTTTGCACACATCTCAGGAGGGATTTTGGCCGACTCCTCTTGGCAGATCCTCTCCAAGTCATTAAGGTTTGGTGGCTGACGTTTGGCAACTCGAATTTTCAGCTCTCTCCACAGATTTTCAATCGGATTAAGGTCTGGAGACTGGCTAGGACCTTAATGTGCTTCTTCTTGAGCCACTCCTTTGTTGCCTTGGCCTTGTGTTTTGGGTCATTGTCATGCTGGAACATCCATCCATGACCCATTTTCAATGCCCTGGCTGAGTGAAGAAGGTTCTCACCCAAGATTTGACGGTACATTGCCCCATCCATCGTCCCTTTGATGTGGTGCAGTTGTCCTGTCCCCTTAGCAGAAAAACACCCCCAAAGCAGAATGTTTTCACCACCGTGTTTGACAGTTGGGATGATGTTCTTGGGGTCTTAGGCAGCATTCCTCCTCCTCCGCCAAACACGGCGAGTTGAGTTGATGCCAAAGAGCTGGATTTTGGTCTCATTTGACCACAACACTTTCACCCAGTCCTCCTCTGCATCATTCAGATGTTCAGTGGCAGACTTCAGACGGGCCTGGACATGTGCTTTCTTGAGCAGAGGGACCTTGTGGGCACTGCAGGATTTCAGTCCTTGTTGGCATAGTGTGTTACCAATTGTTTTCTTGGTGACTGTGGTCCCAGCTGCCTGGAGATCATTGACAAGATCCTCACATGTAGTTCTGGGATGATTCCTCACTGTTCTCATGATCATTGACACTCCATGAGGTGAGATCTTGCATGGTGCACCAGACCTAGGGAGACTGACACTTGTTTTGTGTTTCTTCCATTTGTGAATGATTGCACCAACTGTTGTCACCTTCTCACCAAGCTGCTTGGCGATAGTTTGGTAGCCCAGTCCAACCTTGTGTAGGTCTACAATCTTGTCCCTGACATCCTTGGACAGCTCTTTAGTCTTTGCCATGGTAGAGAGTTTGGAATCTGATGGTTTGATTGCTTCTGTGGACAGGTGTCTTTTATACAGGTAACAAAATGACATTAGCAGCACTCCCTTTAAGAGACTACTTCTAATCTCAGCTTGTTACCTGTATGAAAGACACCTGGTAGTCAGAAATCCTGCTGAATGATAGGGGACCAGATACTTATTTCCTCCATGAACATGCAGATCAGTCATCATTTGTTAGACACATTTCTGCTGAATTTGTTGTTGCTATTCTGCCTCTCAGTGTTACAATACACCTACCACTCGATTTTTAGACTGATCATTTCTCTGTGAGTGGGCAAACATTCAAAATCAACAGGGGATCAAATACTTATTTCCTTCACTGTATGTTTTTTCCTTTTTGCCCTTACACTTTAAACACACTTAATTTAAAATTGAATTTTTTTAATATAAAATGTATTTTATTTTTTTAATTCCAGGTTCTCTTGGTGAAATGGAAGAAACGGAGGAAAGTTTGGCATTTGAGTTGAATACTTCTGATAAAGATGGCTCCATTTCTGACCTGGAAGAATTAGCAGACTGTGATTCTTCGAGCCCATCTTACAGCGACACACCGGAAGTAGAAGGTATCTTCACCACTTTCAGAGTGTATATTGCTTATGAAAAGGGATGGGGGGGGGGGGAATCTCACCATTGTGGGAGGGGCAGAGATGCAAAGTGCTGCAGGAAATCTCATCATTGTGGGGGGGAGAGACACAAACTGAGGGAATCGCACCATTGTGGGAGGGGCAGAGACACAAACTGAGGGAATCTCACCATTGTGGGAGGGGCAGAGACACATACTGAAGGAATCTCACCATTGTGGAATGGGCAGAGAGACAAACTGAGGGAATCTCACCATTGTGGGAGGGGCAGAGACACAAAGTGAGGGAATCTCACCATTTTGGGACGGGCAGAGATACAAACTGAGGGAATCTCACCATTGTAGGAGGGGCAGAGACACAAACTGAGGGAATCTCACCATTGTAGGAGGGGCAGAGACTCAAACTACTGGAAGAAAATCTCATCATCTTGGGAGGGGCAGAGATGCAAACCACTTCAGGTATAGTTGGAAGGATGAGATGAGAAATGATCTGCACAAAACAAAAAACAAAACATGGCAATTGTATCATTCACATACATAGAAAAGATTCTTGTAAATGTTACACAATGCAAGTCTATGTACACTGTCATGGTATATATGATCATTATATTGTTTTATGGCATTCTATTGTACGTTTCCTATGAAGCCACTGTTTTTACTGCTTTGTGTGTCTCGGAGATTTCTGGTTGTCTCTGACTGCTGAGTTCACTGAGACAAATCCTCACTCAGGTATTCCTACCTTCATTACCAGGAGAGCCGAGCAGCTCTGTGCCGCAGGCTTCCGATCAGGAGACGGGTGAAGCGGAGCCACTGGTGAACCTGCGTGAAGAAGCCACACACCCCTGCGGCTCAGGTACACACCTTTAATATTTATGTATGATTCTTCATATATACTATATACACTATATTGCCAAAAGATACCTGCTTTTACACGCACATGAACTTTAATGGCCTCCCAGTCTTAGTCCGTAGGGTTCAATATTGAGTTGGCCCCGCCCTTTGCAGCTATAACAGCTTCAACTCTTCTGGGAAGGCCGTCCACAAGGTTTAGGAGGGTGTCTATGGGAAGGTTGGACCATTCTTCCAGAAGCACATTTGTCAGGTCAGGCACTGATGTCGGGGGAGGAGGCCTGGCTCACAGTCTCCGCTCTAATTCATCCCAAAGGTGTTCTATCGGGTTGAAGTCAGGACTCTGTGCAGGTCAGTCAAGTTTCTCCACCCCAAACTCTCTCATCCATGTCTTTTATGGACCTTGCTTTGTGCACTGGTGGGCAGTCATGTTGGAACAGGAAGGGGCCATCCCCAAACTCTTCCCACAAAGTTAGGAGCAAGAAATTGTCCAAAATGTCTTGGTATGCTGACGCCTTTAGAGTTCCCTTCACTGGAACTAGGGGGCCAAGCCCAACCCCTGAAAAACAGCCCCGCATTATAATCCGCCCTCCACCAAACTTTATATTATGCACAATTCAGTCAGGCAAGTACTATTCTCCTGGTATCCGCCAAACCCAGACACGTCCATCAGATTGCCAGACAGAGATTGGTCACTCCAGAGAACACATTTCCACTGCTCTGGAGTCCAGTGGTGGCGTACTTTACACCACGGCATCCGACACTTTGCATTGCACTTGGTGATGTAAGGCTTGGATGTAGCTGCTCGGTCATGGAAACCCATTCCATGAAGCTCTCTACACACTGTTGTTGTGCTGATCTGAAGGCCACACCAAGTTTGGATGTCTTTAGCTATTGACTCTGCAGACAGTTGGCGACTTCTGTGCGCTTCAACATGCGCTGACCCCGCCCTGTCATGTGACGTGGCTTACCACTTGGTGGCTGAGTTGCTGTTGTTCCCAGTTTGCTTCCACTTTGTTATAATCCCACTAACAGTTGAGCGTGGAATATTTAGTAGCCAGGAAATGTCACGGATGGACTTATTGCACAGGTGACAACCTATCATGGGACCACGCTTGGAGTCACTGAGCTCCTGAGAGCGACCCATTCTTTCACAAAGTGTATCTGTACATACCATAAAGGATTGCTGTGATAACATCTGTGTGTGTAGGTGGTAGGTGCACTTTAAAAATGACAAAAATATGATGTGATCTCTGAATAGTGCCCATGCTGAGTGGCTGGTCTCCTATGTTTACAATGTAGCAGGGCAGCCACTCAACACAGGGCCTGGAAGCATCGGAGATCACTGGAGTAGCGCTTTCCACATTCTAGAGGGATCCCGTAGGTGTATTGTATAGATAGCTACATTGGTCCAAGCTGGAACAATGTAACTATGTAAAAGTATCCATACCTGGATGACCCCTCTCTCCCCTCATCTCAATAACTCACCCCCACAATGTGTCCAAATGTGATCTGATAAGTCCTAGAAATACTAAGTAGTAGCTCCAGGTTTTTCATCAATACATTCACATTTTCCATTCTAATCTGTTTCTGCTGGTACTAGTAGTTCCTTCCTGGGAAAAGTGACCTCTCCCCTCCCCCGAATGCTGACTTTCAAGTCATATGAAGCGATAATGCTGATAGTGGGCGATAAGGGACCCACCCCGGTGACGCTGTATTACAAGTGCTTTGTCCACGTTACTAATAACGCTGTCAGTGACTTGGCAGGTATCTGATTAGAGTAATACAGATTGTAACCTTTCCATGTCGACAGTCAGCCCTGCGTGCAAAGGGTATAGCTGCGGAAAATA